ATATGGTAATTGTATCCATAGCATAATATATATTTTCTGTCGGGAAACCTACTATGAAAGAGAGTTATGTAAATATTTTTTTATTCAACAAAAATTTTAACTTCTAAATTCAGAACATTTTCAAATTTGATGAAATAGATGCCCTGTATATACAGGTATGGCACATTCTCTTGATTTAGCTATGTAGCTTGATTTAGCGATGAGGGTAGCAGATCAGAAATCATGGCAATAAAGCAACAAGAGGCCCATGAGCCACAATGCTCACCTGAGTCAATATGGCCCTGCTGTTCTTCGTCAGCAGATTTCTTCTCTTATATATTCATATGTAAAGCTTTGATCACCTGTTCTAGGCATACCCTACCCCCAGGTGCCATGTTTTGAATGAAATTGAATCTAACTTTCTGATGATGCTTCTATATTCATATAACTAATCATGGTTTTTCTGTTCTTGAAAACCGAATTTTAAAGATGTCTGCCACCCTACCCTGGGTGTGAGGTCATGATTTAAACAAACTTGAATCTACACTACCTGGGGATGCTTCCATATCAATATGACAAATCATGGTTTGTTGTTCTTGAGAAGAAGATTTTTAAAGATATTTCCTATATATATTCTTTTGTTAAACTTTAATCCCCCATTATGGCCCCACCCTACTACTGGAGGATGCCTTGAACAAACTTGAATCTATAATACTTGAGGATGCTTCAATATCAATATGACTAATCATGGCTTTCCTGTTCTTGAAAAGATTTTTAAAGATTTTTCCTGTATATTCCTATGTAAAACTTTGATCCTCATTGAGGCCCCACCCTACCCCCGAGGGTCATGATTTGAACAAACTTCAATCTACACTACCTGAAGATGATTCCATATCAATATGAATTATTGTGGCTTTGTTGTTCTTGAGCAGAAGATTTTTAAAGAATTTTCGTATATATTCCTATGTAAAACTTGGATCCCCCATTGTGGCCCCACCCTACCCCTGGGGGTCATGATTTGAACAAATTTGAATCTACACTATGTAATGAAGGTTTCACATAAGTTTCAATTTTTCTGGCCCAATGATTCTTGAGAAGAAGATTTTTAAAAGATGACACCAAATTTTCACCAATTCTTAATTATCTCCCCTTGGGAGAGGGCGTGGCCCTTCATTTGAACAAAATTAAACCCCATCACCCAAGGATGCTTTGTGGCAAGTTTGGTTAAAATTGACCCAGTGGTTCTGGAGAAGAAGTCGAAAATGTGAAAAGTTTACAGACGGACAGACGGACGGACAGACGAATTACGGACAAAATGTGATCAGAAAAGCTCACTTGAGCTTTCAGCTCAGGTGAGCTAAAAATGATTTACATAATAAACCAGTCAGACTATTATATAATGTCTAATATCTTCAAATTATCCTGTCTTTTAAATATTGAACAATCAAAATGAAACTTTTAAGCTTAGAACATTTCATGTCCACATTTTACAATCTTTTTCTAATCTCTCGTGTATTTTTTTTTATCCCTCAGCAAACTCAGTGCTTTCATTTTTCTCTTTCAATCAAGAGATTTTGAATATAAAATTTACAAGTCATTTTTCTTTATTCAAAATAAAAAAAAATTAATTTCAAGAAACATAATACTATGTAACTTACACAATACACACAAAAAAAGTAATATATCCTGATACAAAAACCTTATATATTTTTGTATATCGTGATACATAACATTTTAAGCCGTGTCATTTTTTTTTTGTTTTATCTTCCTATTGCAGTCCTAACTATTTAAAAGACAAGTCATTGATCAAAGAAATGTAATAATAACCAAAGCAAAAACATGTGATGATGCCTTTATTAATTACTAAATAACATTTTTGAAGGTATAATTAATTGGAGTGCAAAGTTCTGATGACAAGACAGTGTGACTTGGCTGAACGAAAGATTACAGTCTGCTAGTGGGTTGATCATTGGATGAGCCAGACACCAACCATTTACCACAGAAGTTTTAGTGGAGACAAACAAAAACACTCCTTCTCAATCTTCATTCATGACTTGTTTCTCACTATGGATTCTGAGTTACGACTTCTTTTTTCAAAAGCATGGACACCAGCAGCATTGGGCAATCAATTTTCATAATCATTTATTCTTCCAAGTTTGATCTGATATCTTTAAATAAAGGAAAGTCAATTCATTAACCATTTGCAATATTTTCTGTAATCTCACTAAATGTGTTTAGAGTTTGAAGCAATTCTATTTGATAATTTAAAAAAAAAAAAACATATATATATAGCTGTTAAACAAGCAGTAATAAAATTTTGAAAACAATTATCTGAGTTAGGATTAATTACTTTGCCCATTTCAGACAGGTAGCTTACAAAAACTGATTGACATCTACTGTGGAATCATCATTGTTTGTGGGGGACCAACATTCTTGGATTTTATCACATGGATCAGCTATACCCATAAATTTATATTTCCACAAACGCTTATTTTAACATTTTAATCAATCCATTAATTCCTTTGATTGTATTTTGGTTACATGTAACCTTATTTATGTCCTGTCCACAAAACAGCAAAATTATATGCCTGCCCACAAACACTGACCTCCACAAATTAAAATGATTCCATAGTATTATGCAATTTAGAAAAAATGTATATCAGGAAGCCATATGTACCAGGGAATGGAATAATGAATAAACATGCTTTGAAAATTTACAAATACATGAGGAAAAACATTTTGCCCAGGACCTCTGCATTGCACATACTTGTATACTAATGAGGTATTCTAACAACTAAGCTGCCCAGAATGCTCATGTATCTACAGTCCATATAGCAAAAATTACTTAGGATGTATCTGCAGCTACTTATGGCTGAATTTATTTTATGTACTTGTTTGTTTGTGCTTGTCTATATTCAATATGGTGTTTTTAAAATTTTAGGTGATTTTTTTTAATTGCCTGCATTTCTTGAGAGATTTCTTGAATTATAGGGTAAAAATGACCATTTTCAAAGTATATTGTGTCTTCACCGGGTAGCTATTTTGGTATCATGGCCCGGGGATCATGAAACATCTTAAGCTTAACTCAAAATCTTTATGTTGTACTAAAATGTTCTAGAAGTCAAGAGCCCAAAATTAAACTATTTTGCAATATTGCTTTACAAAAGAGTTGTTATTTGCAAAATTAGAGATTAACTCAATAAATGATAAACATTTTACAGGCAATTGAAAATATGACTTAAATCAAAGTCTGTTTCATGATCCTGCAGCCTGCAATTAAATTCTTGTTTCAAAAATTTTATCTATTGTTTTTATGAATATAAATTTTTTTTTATTATATGAGAATCAAACTAGCAGCTGGCTCTGACTTGTATAGAATGTGTCAATATATATAGATGTATAATCTTTTTTTTATGTAAAACTATTGAACTTTCTACCAAAAAAAAAAAAGATGATAAAAATAGAAAAGGTAAAAATTAAAATAAAAAGTAGTATAATCTTTTACACTTGTGTTGTGTAGTTTTTGTGTGTAGGATTGAGTATTTAATTTTTGGCATTCTGTTATATTTGTGGAAACACTAAAAATATATCCAAGGGCCTGGATTTACCTAATGCCGATATTACAGGAAGTTTTCGAAGGGCAAGGTCAAATTCCATTGGAGACGTAGTTTGATGCAGACAACAAAAGTTGTTTTGCACCGAGATTCAAAACATAATATTGATTGTGGATTTATGTTTTTAAAGTGTTGAAAGTCTAAGAAAAAAAAAACAGGATATACTGTGCAGTTACGGACATCAATTGTTCACATAGAAGTGATACGATGCCTCTTTTGACCATGTTTATAACAAACTATAGGGAGTTGGATTTATGTGGAAGGCCAAGGAGAAAGGTAAAGCAGCAATTAATTTTAATAATCTTAATGATATGACTACGCTTATTAGAAGTTAGATCTCTACGTTTTGGCAATAAAAGCAGTCATGTCACTTGAGCTAAATTTGCAGTTGCCTCGATTGTTTTTAACATGATAATTACAATCTTAGGATATATGAATTGAGTCATACCTCTTTTCTTTCTGCAGTGTATAGGCTAGCTGTTTTTAAACATCTCTGATCTCTTCTGTCTGGCCCTGGGTATGAAAGTTTTGTCGAAGACGTAATTTCTCCTATATATAGGCCTAAATATATACTTCGGGCTTTATAGCTTTTTGGACGTCGATAAGCACATTCCCGAACTTGCGTGACGTCATTACCTCACTGACGGCAATGTACGGAAAATTACGAATAATGATGGATCCCCTTCCGAAGTGGCTGCCATTTTGACAATGTTAAATCCCCGTAGACTTTGAATTTGCCGCCGTGTCAATACACTGGTTGACCTCGAGGGTTCGTATAAATGCAGGAAGTTTTGAAAAAAATCAGTCTATCGATCGAACCTAGATTGAAAGCCAAGGTATTTATATATTTTGAAATATCTTGCAAAAAGTAGTGACGTTCCGGTCGTGGAACAGACTATAATGGTTAACTTTGACTCTAATTAACTATAGTGATTACTATGACACAATGTGATACCTTTGAAAACTTTGATTTATTAAAGTGATCACAATGAAAACTTTGATTAACTTTAGTGATAACTTTTACATATGAACAATTTGGTTTACTATAATGGATACTCTGACAGCTTAAATTAACTATAGTGATAACTTTGACACTATTAAAACTTTGAAATACTATATTGAAAACTATTACACTATAGTCATAGCTTCGAAAATTTTGATTTACTAAAGTGATAACTTAAAAAAAATGATTTACTATAGTTTACTATTGTAAACTGTAGTTAACTATACTATTATTTGTTACAGAAGACATAAACCTTCTTTAGTTTTTACATGCAGATTCTTCAAAAGGGAAAGACAATTTGTTATTGGGATTCTGGAATTGGTTGACCAAGAGATACAAGACCTTAAAAGTTAAGCGACTATATGTTGGTGTAGAAAAAAATGGAACTTTCAGAATGAACACAGAAGTTATAGTCCTTGTTATTGACGATTTTAGAGTAATAAAAGAGACTAAGTTGAACTATTACCGAAATTCCTTTCCTATAATTTGCAAATTATTTCGATTTCCATCACCCGAAGGAGCGAAGATTACAAGCATGGAAAAAGATATTGAGTTTGATAAATCCCTTCATATAAAATTTAGAAAATGTATACAGCATATCTCATCTTTTCTTTATGAGAAACACTTAAATTTAGAAATCATCAGTGCGTCTGGATTTCGATCTACGAAAAATGGCGACGAAATTGTTCGTGAACCATGCATTGTGTTTTATTGTGCCTGTAAAGGGATAATACCGTTTGGAGAATCAGAATTCCCGAGGAATATCTACGATTTTAACACTGATGTTAGGGAGGGATTCTTTTATCAATTTCCTAATGATGGATTTTTCAAAAGGTCCACAGATGTTCTTGATCCGTTGATGATGGGTGGAAGCATAAGCTCAAAGGGTATTTCTTTTGCTGAAATCTACTGTGAAGATATTTTCATACATTAAGCCTTTGAATGAATCTAATTGTTTTTCAAAAAAGAAAGTTATTAATGTATTATGTTATTATTCTTAAACCTCTTTTGTTTGCTTAAGGTAGCTTGCATATGGATTAGAGGGAGCTTCAAGGAGTTTGGACATTAAGCTCCTTGTATAAATCTGGCTTAATGGTATCTTAATAGCGACTTAGTCTTTTTTGTAGACTTCTTAAATCATCAAAATTTACCTTTAGGCTACCTTTAATCACCCTATAAAGAGTTGGCGATGGCTTAATCGTAGCTAATTGATGACGTATTTTTTTTTTTTAAATTTTAAGATAGTTTGAGATGCTTAATGGTCATTTAAAGACGATTTTAATAACTACTTAAGCATCAATAAGCCATCTTTGATCCAAGCTTGTTTTCATCTTTTGATTAAAAATGATTCATAAATAAACTATACATGGATATCCATAACTTGCAAATAAAAACAATTGCTAGGAACAAAATTATACGTTATATAAAATATGCAATAGGAAAAGAATCAATGTAATTATTGTGAGTGCACATAAAGTATTATTTTGTGTACGTTTGAGTTTTCATTTTTAATTTATTACCATGTTTATCACAACAATTATTATGATTACAATATCACGTATTGTTTTTTCTGATATTTTATGTAAACTTCTATAATTAAGTTCATATTATGACAATTTTCTCTCTGGTTTATGTTCATATATATATATACGCACGCATCCTCGTTTTTTTTTTCATTTAAAATTTATGTTTCAATCAAACAAATCATTCATAAAAACAAATTCTCTGAATTGTTTTACACAGATTTTTCAAAAGGAGGAACTCTTGGAGGATTTGTAACTTTAAACAATGGCAATATAGGATTCATTACGTGTGCCCATGTACTCTTTGATTTATCACGTCTTTGCCGTGAAACAGAACATTTTGATGTCGTACAGCCTGCTTATACTTATAAAAATACCAACAACGTTTGTCGTATTCATGAATTATCCTGTTTCCCCACAACACCATTCAAAGGCTGCACACTTGACGTTTCACTTGTGAAACTTACAAATCGAATACCTGAGAAAGGACTGTTTTCAGATCTAAGCATTGAAGACCTGCTTGAGAATGGTAGGAATTTATATATCACAACATTAAAGCTCTAAATTATAATTGAGTTTTCATTTATTTATTTATCTTTTAATTAATTATTTTATTTTGTTTCCTTATTTTTAAAACTATAACTTGTATTCTTCTTGGTAAAATATACATTTCTGCATAAAATACGAGAAGAAAATGTGAATAAAATGAATCTCAATATATCATCTAACTTTCCTTCGATAATTTTTAACTAAACATTATTTTTATTGTTTAAAATGCGTATATACTTCTATGTATGTAACAATACTGCACATATGTCGACTTTCTTTTTCAACTCATTTTAATTTCTTTAATGAATGTTTTAATGAACTTTCATTATCTCAATTACCCCTATAATGTAGATATGTTTGGACATTGCCTGTGGTATACTTTGCATGACACATGTTCACAGCAGGGTAAATTGCAAGTAATGTGCATTGCTGATTAATAGGCATTGATTCAAATCGATGACAGTAAAAATACTTAAGGCAGTAAATTTACTATAAAGTCATGGAATGTAATTAATCAAAGAAAAATAATGATCAATTTTCGAAAAAAAGAATTGGATTATTCCAGGACAGTTCCAAACACAGGTATAATTTAAACCTTTTCAAAATTTAATGAAACTTAAAAAAAAAGAAGATAGTTGAATGATTATTTTAATCTTTGTTTTATGCAATGCAAAAATCAATCCATTACAAATTTGACCATACAGTTATAAAGTGGTTTAAGTCATTAAGACATATCTTTATGACAGAACCCAGTGTGTTAAATTTGGAACATGTGTCTCCAATATTCTACCCGTCAAAGCAGGGCTCAATTTTGGGTCCACTTTTATTTTATTGTACATAAATTACCTTCCATTACAAGCAAACAATTCAAATATTGATATGTTTGCTGATGATGTAACTCTGTATTCTAATAATCATAATGCTAGATGTTTAGAAAATACACTAAATTCAGATCTTTGCGAGATTGAGAAATGGTGTGCTCAAAATCAAATGGTATTTAATGTAGACAAAAAATTGTATGCTAATGGGAACAGAGCAAAAACCAAAATCAAAACTAGATAATCCAAATTTACAACTTTATGCCTCAGACAAAACATTTGAAACGGTTGAAACTGAGAAACTTCTTGGTGTACATATTGAAGATAAGTTACAGTATGCAAATATCATATTGATTCGGTTTGTAAACCCATAAACTATAAGTTATTTACTCTACGTAAGTTAAAAAATTTTCTTCCCCTACATACCAGAAAATTATATTACAATGCTCATATTCTACCATCTATTAACTATTGATTAACTATTTGGGGTAATGCCCCCAAGCAGGACATGGAAAGACTATTTAAATTACAAAAAAGGGCAGCCAGGATTATTCTTGACGCAAGTCCTGATTCTTCTTTTAAACCACTGTTTGAGAAACTTGGATGGTTTACAGTTTATGATCTAGTTGATCTATACAAACACATATTATTATACAAAGTTTTCAGCGGAATGACTCCCGAATATTTTTGTAATTTATTTGAATTTCACTCCTCAGCTTCTTATAACCTGCGATCTGAAACTAATTATGACCTTAGATTACCAAAATTCCGTACAAACTTATTAAAGACCTCTTTTCAGTACTCAGGTGTACACCTATGGAATAAACTTCCCCAGAACATAAGACTCTCTCAATCTCTACGAGCATTTAAGTGTAATGTAGAAAATTACATTATCAGCTGTCGTACAATTATTTTATTACAGTAAGATTTTGATATCCTATCTACATCGTAGTTCATAGTTGTATGTACATATTACCAGATATGGACACTCTATTCGTAATTCTGTGATTGTAATTCCTTAGGACTGTTACTGTTATATGCTGAATTGTATATTTACATGTGTACTTGTATATCTTTGTAATTGATATCTGGAAGGCCCTGGGGAAGAATAGTGCATGCACTAACAAGGTTACCTTCATTAAATAAAGTTTTATTATTATTATTAACGGAGGATTTCATATCCTGGTGTGAGAGAAATCAAATATTACATTTGGATTGCCCTTTCGAAAATATCCAAGAAAGTTGGGATTCTACTGAAGGGAAGAAAAAAGATAAAAAGAATTTTTGTAATTAGGCTTTATGATCTGTAGATAATAGAGAGGAGTTTTTTAGAACAATTATGTACATGGATATTATATTCACGTACCAAACGAACATTTCACAGTGTTGTCATTAAAGTGCAGGTAGAATTTTCCTTTAACTCTGAACCAAAGTTTACTTGTATGCAAATCTGTTCAAATATTTACTCCAATAATCAATCTATTACAATCATTTATATTAATTAATAATTTTACAGGGTTCAACATGGAAAATATTCCTGAATATACTGAAGGTACTATACGGGATTATCGCCAGGATCACTTTGCTCATCTTAGAGACCCTTGTTTCAAATGGGGAGCAAAGACTGGGTTCACAAGAGGTGCGCTACGTCTAAATGGAATATCTGTCAGATGGTTCAACGATGTAATAGATCTAGGACAACCACCATCCAGGTATTCATTTGTGTACCATTCCCAACTTGAATGTTTGGGAACCGGTACATCTTTTGCCCTTCCTGGAGATTCTGGAGCACTTGTTTTTCAGCTTGATCCGATAGCAACAAAAAACGACCAACATCGCTTTCATTGCATTGGGATGATTGTAGGCGGTACATCAGATTACAAAACAGTAGTAACTCCTATTGGACCTATACTTGAAGCTTTAAACGTAAAAATGCACACTTTTCCTCAAGAGAAAATGGATGAATCTTAACATGCATTCTCTGTAAGCACCAAAAAATCTTGGAAACGACATCTCTCCGATTTTGATGAAATTTGCACCACAGGTGCATCTTGGCACAAACTAGTAAATATGGTGTTAGATGTTTGACACGTGCACCCAGTTTGCCATGGAGACGGATCCATTGAATTTGGCCATTTTTGGCCCTTTTTGACCAAATAAAAACATGAAAATTGAGGAAATGTAAATGCATTTTTATATTTATGTAGTAAACTCAAACATAAATCATTGTATCATAAGAAAACATCAACTTTTAAGGTATACAGGGCATATAATCGGTTATTCCAGAATTATTCCCACTCTAAGAAAAAGGTCCTGTAAAATGACATTGTTTCTGAAAATGTGAAAAATGGGAAATTTTAGTATTTTTTGAGAACTTTAAGGTTAAATAAAAATATTGTCTACGGAAATTTTTCAAATCTTACATGTGATTTTATACTTCAGAATTAGGAGTGTCACCTCATGAAAAAATTGGAGTGGGATCTCAATACTATTTTTAGTAACATGTATCTATAAATAGACATATTTAGAAAAATTTACAAAATCAAATTTGGGCAAAGATTAAGATACCATTGTTAGGTATTTAGGAAATATACTGTAAAAGTCAATATGTTAATGACAGAAACCGGACACCAATAACTACTATGCAAATTATTTGAAGGGAGTTCCGTTTTCTATTTATAGCTTCAAATGCCTTAAAATAGACATGTCTCATAATATGTGTAGAAATGACTATTTTCTATCATTTAGAAGCTCCACTAAAACATAAGTGATAAACTTACTGCTCTCACCAATATTTCATCAATTAGAACAAGGGATAATACAGCAACTCACACATTATTGAGGATAGGCTCTCATTTCTATAAATAGTACAAATGTCTAAAATTAGACACATGGGAAATTAACGACGAAATGTAAATTTTTGCACTATTTCTCACATTAGAGATGAACAATTTGCATACTAACTGTCATTAACTGTAACTGACATAATGTGACTGATAAGTACAGGAGAGCATTAACTGAAATGCAGAATTATAAGTGGAGGTTTCCATTTCTATTTATAATAACAATTGTTTAAAAATAGACATTCTACAAATTATCAAGAAAATGTAGAATTTTGCACTATTTTCTCACATTAGGGATGGACAATTTGCAGACAAACTGCTATTAACTGTTAATAACATAAGGGGAACAATTAGAATTAAAATTAAATAACAATTTAAAAAGAAAATATCAATATAAAATTGGAAGTTAGAATAAAAAAAAAAAGAAATAAAATCTAAATAATTTAAAAAAGAAGAAGTTAGAATTTAAAAAAAAAGGGGGGGGGGTATGTGGCACTGATGCCCCTCCATAGTTTCTCATAATCAAAATTCGACAATCATGTAGACTTTACATTTGTAGACTTGACAATTGTCTTTGTGTTTTATTCAGAGCACGGAAATATAAATTCCGGAAAACAAAGTTTACAACATCAAAAATACACACATTCATAGTATAAGCTTAAAGACAACACAGTTGTATGTTCAGAACTACATGCTAGGATGTCGGAATTACTTACTTACATATGTATGCTATGAAACTGATAAGATTACAAGTTTGGATTTACAAACTTACAAGTCTGGATTTTTGAACACGATCACTCTCCATATGAGAAAGCATTAACTGAAATGCAGAATAATAAGCGGAGGTTTCCATTTCTATTTATAGTAACAAATGTTTAAAAATAGAAACACTGCAAATTATTAAAGGAATGTAGAATTTTGCACTGTTTCTCACATTAGGGATGGACAGTTTGCAGACTAACTGTTATTTACTGTTGTTGACATAAGGCGACTGACAAGAGATAGACAGCATTAACTGAAATGCAGTACATTCAGTGGAGGTTTCCATTTCTATTTATAGTAACAAATGTTTTAAAAAGACATACTGCAAATCATAGAGGAAATGTAGAATTTTGCACTATTTCTCACATGAGGGATGGAAAATCTGCAGACTTATTGTTATAAAGGTTATGTATTCGACAAGAAAAACACAGCGGTAACTGAAAAGTAGAATAATCGGTAGAGGTTTCCATTTTTAGCTCTTCTGAGCCAAAGGCTCAAAGAGCTATTGCTATGGCCATTAGTGCGGTGTGCATATTCTTTATAGAATACGGGCCATAACTCAAGAACCCCTTGGCCAATTATTATCAAATTTGTCACAGGGTATTCTTGGCCCAACGGCTCCCATTTTTACTAAAACTAGGGTTATGACCCTTAAACAAGGGGATATAATTAGGAAAATAGAAACAAAAGTACTGGTTGCTAAAAAATCTTCTTCTCAAGAACCATTGGGCAGATTATCACTAAACTTACATAAAAGGATGAGGATATGTTGTAGATTAAAATTTGCACGGGGAATCACCCAGGGGCAAAAGGGGCGTGGTCTCAAGGTCACTTCAAAGTTGACCAAAAATTACATTTTATTAAAATGTTGATATTTTGCTTACTATAAGTACTAGGATCATCAAATCCTGTCAGTTGATGCATCTAAGGACCATATATCATGTTGACTCAAAAGTAGGTCACGGTGACTTACTTTTTAAATTTTGCGGCCATTCTTTTTCAAAATGATTTAGAGGCATATTTTGAACAATTTAAGGCCTATGATCATTAAACTTTGTCAGTTGATGTATCTTGGGTCCTCGGAATTCGTCGACTAAAAAGTAGGTCACCTTGACCTACTTTTTGAATTTCATGGCTAATCTTTTTTAAAACAATTAAGGTCATTAATTCGAATACTCTTGGGGCCATAAAACATATTTATTAAAAAGTAGGTCACAGTGACCTACTTTTTGAACTTTGCAGGCATTCGATTTCAAAGCGTTTTAGAGGCATAATTTGGACATTTTAAGGCTTATGATCATAAAACTTTGTAAGTTGATTCATCTTGGGTCCTCGAAAAACGTCAACTGAAAAGTAGGTCACCATGACCTACTTTTCAATTTATATCGCTATAATTAAATATTTTTGGTTCTTATTGGCTTAGCATCATCAAACTATTTTAGACATGTTTCTATAAAAAGAATGGACAACCCATTCTCAATAATGTGTGAAATAAAGTGGAGATTGGTAGAACTGTAAAAAAAAATTTCTACGAATTTTCTAATTGGTGTAAAATTGTCATTTTTAGCTTTATTGGGACTTACTTTTAATACTGGTAGCTATTAAATTCATTCCTTATTATTTAATTTTCCATCACCAAGTGTAATTGATTGATTGATTACTGTTTAATGACATTATTTCAGCCATATATCGGCGGGTACTAAGTGTGAAAAAATAATAATTTCTCCTTCAAATTGTACATAATTAAAATGTAACATCAAGCGGATCGATACGTTTTTGACTTAAGTCAGTGTGACCTAGGCAACACAGGTTATATGGTATAAACTAATTTTTTAGCCCACCTGAGCCAAAGGCTCAAGTGAGCTTTTCTGATCAAAATTTGTCCGTTGTCTGTCGTCGTTGTCGTTGGCGTTGTCGTCGTTGTCGTTGGCGTAAACTTTTCACAATTTCAACTTCTTCTCCAGAACTACTGGGCCAATTTCAACCAAACGTGGCACAGAGTATCCTTGGGTGAATGGGATTCAAGTTTATTCAAATGAAGGGCCACGCCCTCTTTCAAGGGGAGATAATAAAGAATTAGTGAAAAATTAATAGCATCTTTTAAAAATCTTCTCAAGAACCACAAAGCCAGGGAAATTGAAACTCATGTGGAAGCATCCTCAGGTAGTGTAGATTCAAATTTGTTCAAATCATGACCCCCGGGGGTAGGGCGGGGCCACAATGGAGGATCAAAGTTTTACATAGAAATTATAGGAAAAACCTTTAAAAATCTTATTCTCAAGAACAGCAAAGTCCTAATTGGTCATATTTATATGGAAGCATCCTCAGGTAGTGGAGATTCAAATTTGTCCAAATCGTGACCCCCGGGGGTAGGGCGGGACCACAATGGAGGATCAAAGTTTAACATAGAAATATATAGGAAAAACCTTCAAAAATCTTCTTTTCAAGAACGGCAAAGCCATGATATGTAATATTTATATGGAAGCATCCCCAGGTAGTGTAGATTCAAATTTGTTCAAATCATGGCCCCCGGGGATAGGGATGGGCCACAATGGGGGATCAAAATTTTTTTTACATAGGAACATATTGGAAAATATCTTCTTCTCAAGAAGTGAAAATCATGTTTTGTCATTTTGATATGGAAGCGTCCTCAGGTAGTGTAAATTCAATTTTTTTTTTTTCAAATGATAACCCCCAGGGGTAGGGTGGAGCCCAATGGGGATCAAAAGTTTTACATAAGAACACATAGAAAACATATTTCTTCTCAAGAACAGAAAAGCTATGTTTAGTCATATTTATATGGAAGCATCCTCGGGTAGTGTAGATTCAAGTTTGTTCAAATGATGACCTCTGGGATAGGGAGGAGTCACAATGGGGGATAAAAATTTTACAAACGAATGTATGGGAAATTTTTTTTTAAATCTTCTCAAGTACAACAAAGCCATTTGTTATATTGAAATGGAAGCATCATCAGGTAGTTTAAAATTCAACCTCCATCCCCAACCCCCAGTAATCTTTTCAAGACTGAACTGATTTGTGACTAGCTAAAGTGCTCAGGTGAGCGATGTGGCCCATGGGCCTCTTGTTATCCAATCAAATGACGAGTAAAAACCAAAATTAAATCCTATACAAGTAGACTGCACTTAGATACATCACTCTGCTTATCAGTTTTTGGTTTGATGAATGCCGTTGCTATGGTGACTAAACTTTAAAATTCTTGTCAAATTCTATCAGGAAGCTTCTTCTACAGATTTGATCCGATTCCAAGAAGACTGCACTAAGACACATAATCCTGTACATCAGAATTTAGTTTTAGATAACAGTGTTGTCATGGTAACCAACAAAAAAAATAGGAAATTTCTTTCA